TTGCAGTTGCGTCCATTCTGCAGACGAACGCCTCGCCGGGGTCGTTTGACCCCAGCACCCTTTCCTGCCGTGGCAGGGGTCGGACTCGATCTGCTCAGGTCCCTTCCAACCCTAGAAACTATGAAGCTATGCGGCTTCTCGTCCTGCCGAAGCCCCCAGAAGGCCGGCGCCTCATTCCTGGGTCTAAACGCGCACTGCGGTGGCCTCCAGCGTGCAACACAGCTGCATATCCCCATGCACCGTTGAGATGGGACTTCGGGGTCTTTCTGGTTCTGCCGCCTTCAGAACTTGGCCCCGGGTGACCCCTCGAGCGAACTCCCAACAGGTGCGGTGAAGTTTGGCGCGTGTGGGTGCTAATGGAAGAGGAGTCGGGGCTGCCGGGGAAGGTGTTGGCATCACCCAGCCGTGACAGAGACCTTCCCTGGGGGTCTCTCCAGCTTGGGAGGCTCCTGCAGCTCATCCACACACCCACGGCTGCAACCTGCCCGCTCTCAGCAAGAGGCTGCTTCGGCAGCCCTGATTTCCTTCCTGCAGGAATCGAGGAGACTGGTCTCCCATCATGTGTAAGCTTTCGGGATTTCTCTCTCTCACCCATGGCTGCAAATGCTCAGGTGCTCCTGGATTGCACGGCGGAGCTGTCACCTGGGGCAGAAGAGGGTGACGGCCCCAGGAGCCTGTCCCGCCAGGCAGGACCTGATACCGATGGCTCGGTCTCTGAATGGAAAGCCCCTTGGACTTGGCCTGTCCTGCTCGCAAGGCGTGTAGAGGAGAGGGACTGCAGAGACTAGGAGAGCTCCAGAGAGCTCTGCTTACAGGCCTGACGCGAGTGCAATTGTGTCTCATAGTTTCTAGGGTTGGAAGGGACCTGAGCAGATCATCAAGTCTGACCCCATGCCCCGGGCAGGAACGAGTGCTGGGATCACAGTAACCATGAGGAGCGTGGAGAAGGGTGGGCGCTAGAGGGAGAGCGTTGAACCGGTATCTCTAGAGCGATCCATTCCCTACTTAGTGCCTCCCTGAGACCCTGCATCGTCGGGTTAGAGATCACTGCCCGCAGCACAGCTGCAGCCCAGGCCCGGCAGTACCAGCCTTCTCCAGGACCCGACAGAGGCTGCGTGGGCGGGGGTGCCTTGGAGCTGGGTGGGAAAGGAGGCCCCTGTTCCCAGGGGCGAAGCTGTTCGGGCTTCACGGGATGCTCACCGTGTGCCTGCTCCTTTCTCCCCCAGGATTGCGGCGGTGGAGACCGGGGCCTTCTCCGTGCTCCCCAGCCTGCGCTCCCTGGACCTCAGCAACAACCGCCTGGCTGCTGTCCACCCGGACGCCTTCGGCGTGGGCAACAGCTCCTTGTGGGCGCTGAACCTGAGCCGCGCGCTCCACAACGCCTCCGCCCTCCCGCCCCTGGCAGCCGCCATCGCCCGGGGCGGCTTCCACAACCTCTCCAGGCTGGAGCTGGCCAGCAACGGCATCGTCTACCTGCCCCCAGGCCTGTTCTCTGGCCTCGCCGGCCTGCGGCACCTGGACCTGAGGAACAACTCGCTGGTGGACGTCAAGAACGCCACCTTCGCCGGCCTGGACCTGGAGCACCTGGACCTGACTGCCAATGCCCTCAAGACCCTTCGGGCCGAGGCGCTGGCGGAGCTGGGCCGGCAGCCGCGTCTCCAGCTCTTCCTGCAGGACAACCCGTTCGTGTGCAGCTGCGACATCGAGGAGCTGGTGGGGTGGCTGAACCGCAGCCACCAGGCCGCCGATGCCCACCGGCTGACCTGTGCCTTCCCCCAGGCTCTCCAGAACACCTCGCTGCTGGCGCTGGCCGGGGCCGAGCTGGGCTGCCACTCCAGCCCGCACGGCGAGCGTGCCCTGCAGACCTCCTACGCCCTGCTGGGCGCGGTGCTGGGCCTCCTCGGCGTGGCCTTCCTCTTCGTGCTCTACCTCAACCGCCGCGGCCTCAAGGGCTGGGTGAACAGCACGCGGGGCGCCTGCCGCAGCCTGCTCGAGGAGCGCCGCTATCGCTACGAGATGGGCGCCGAGTCCCGTGCCGCCCGGGTCTCCACTCTGGACATGTGAGCCTGGGCGTCTCGGCACGACCGCTTTGGGCCCCTCGCCGGCCTGGCCGAGCCCTGCCCGTCTCTGGCAGTGGTTCGCAGACTCCTCGGTCCCTTTGGCATGTGCTGGCACTTCTGCTTCCCTTGCCTACGGGACCTGCCTCGCAGCCCAGCACCAGCCTTGGGGGACCCTGGCTGGGCCAGCGCAGTAGCTCCCTTCTGACGGAGCTGTACCCAGGGTACGGGAGGCAAGGACGATCCTACTGGAGCAGACTGCCCGGCTCTGCCCAACTCAGAGGAAGGCCCGGGGCAGTTTTGTTTACAGCCGAGATGTGCAATAAGAGGCCTGGAGCATGAGGGACGGGTCCAGCCCCCAGTTGGGAACAGCTGACTCCCAGTGGCTGCAGCCCCTGGCTGGAGAGACGCTACTTCAGTGGGAAGGGGCGGAGGCATTTTAGGGTGTTTTACTGTTGCTATAAAGGGGGGGGGTTGATTTCTTCTCAGCACAATAACCTGCCCCCAGGCTCGGTCTCTGGCTGACGAACTGGGCTAAGTGAGGGGTGGGCGGCAGGGGGCACCGAGGCCCCTGAGCGCTGCCCCACGGGCTCCAGGTGCTGGGCCCCAAAGCGGCTGCTTGGGTGCAGCCAGCGGGGAGGGTGACAACGACGCGCTCCTGTCTCTTGTCGCCCAACGCGGACAATAAAGGGTTCCTCGAATGGCGCCTGGCAGGTGTGGGGTGAAGTGTCTCCGGCCCCGCTGCACCATGGCAGGGGAGGGGGGCAGGCAGAAGAGACCGGCACTTCATGGGGACGACGTGGCAGAGCAGCTAGGGGAAGAGAGACCCCTTCTCCCAGCCCGTGGTCTCCCCTACAGAAAGTGCTTGCCCCATAGATGCTCAGTCTATCAAAACACAGTGGGGGTGGGCACTTGAAGGCTGCCAACCCGCCAGTCGGGGCAGGGGGGCTTTGTTCTTCCTAGGGATTGTCCAGAAACAAAGGAGGACGTGCCCGTCAAGGGAGCATTGGTCCCTGGGGGAAGGGGCAGGGACATACCTGCATCCCTTGCTGCCTGCTGGGATCCCACGTTGCGCGAGCCTGGCCCATCCGAGCAGCCCCGGTGCCGCTGCTGGTGGGTCGGCCCCATCCCAGGCAAGCGTCGCTCTCACCTGCTCCTATTGACTTTGTGACCGAGCCTCTTGATGTGCCTGAAAACATCAGGACGGCCTCACTCGGCGCGCTGCAGCCCAGCTCTGTGCATCTCCAACCACCAGCAGGCCCCGTGGTCATCCTATCTCCTCCAGGAGCTTCTCCCTCCCGGGACCCCAGCCCTGGCTCCCAGTGCCCTGGGGTTTTGCCACCTCCTGGTCCTGCCTGGCATCTCCGTTGGTGCTGGGGCAGGAAGGGGCACAGAGAAACAGGCCCGACAGAGCTGGGTGCGAGCATCTCCCTGGCTTGCAAAACCCAGAGCGCTCGTGGCAGCTCGAGGGCACCCCCTTGTGCCCACCAGGCCAAAATGCCAGGGCAGCGAGCCCCCCACCCCCCAAACTCCTACCCCTCTTGGGGACTCTCCCTCTGCATTGTAGCTTGCTCCTGCCTTGAACAGCTGAAATCCTGGCCCCGGGGCAGAGTCTTACCCTGCGGAGCCCGAGCCCAGCAGCGAGTCTCTTTCCGTTGACGCTGGAAAGAAAAAAGTAAGATGGGGCTGAGAGGGGGGAAAAAACCCCAGATAATAAGGCTTTGAACTGATGTAGGTGAGGAGTGGGTGCCCCTCTCGGGTGTAGAGTCACCCCTGTTAAGCCTACGCTGTGACCCCCCCGGGGCCATCTCCCAGGGCAGCCCTTGCTCGTATGGGGCGTGAAGCCTGGTGCCCCCGTGCTCCCCTGTGCCAGGCGCTGTGCAGAGCCCCAGACGCTTTCCGGGCCAGGCCCGGCCAGTCCGGTCCGGCGAGCCGCTCTCCTCCAGGCCCTGGTTTCCCGCCGGCTGCGTGGGGTGGGGCGGTGTTTCCTCCCCCCTGCGGTTGACTCAGCCTTAGGTCTCCCTGAGGTTGCTTCTGTGCAGCTCTGCAAACGCGCAGGGGCGGCGACAGGCAACGGCAGCCAGCTCCGGCACCGCTACAGGAGGAAGAAGGGGGTCCCTGGGGCCCCACCTGCGGGGACCCGGCCTCTTCTCCCCACCCCTGGCAGGACAGGTAACTCCGCCTCGGCTGCGCCTCCGCGAGCTCCACCTGTTGCAGAGGTGGCGGGGGCACCCCGAGCCCTGCACCCCAGCCCGCAGCGCCTGGCCCGGGGGGCGAGAGGCTGGGCCAGGCAAGGGGCGCAGCGAATCCGCCTCTGATCGCTCGCGGCCTGTTCGGACCTGACCCGTTGGGGAATCTCCTGGCAAAGGCTGAGCTGCAGCTCCCGCGGGGCAGGAGTGGGACAAAAGGGCAGGCCCTGCCCAGGTCCCCGGGACTCGTCCGCGCTCCCTGGGCCTGGAGGCACCAGGCCTGACGGGAGGTGGATTCGAGTCTCCCCGCTCAGCACCATGGGCCCGGGAGCCAGTCCCTTGGTGTTGGACTTGTGGTGGCAGCCGGGGGGTCTGGATGGGGAACCGAGGGCTCCAGGACCCGTCTCTGTGTGGCGAGCTGGGACCTGGCTGCTGCGCTGCACCCCAGAGGTGGTCGCATCTTAGTGCTGAGGCTTAAGGGGGGCCGAGAAGGCCGGCGAAGGGCTGTCGCTGCCCTGGTTCCTTGTGTCTTCGGGTCGGGGTTCCCCCGGGCACTGCTGGAAGGGGCAGGGCTGGGGGCGTTGCGGAGGTGGGGGCCGCTTCTGGGTCCGTGGGCTCCTTCCATTCGACGACCGAGATGTTTTGGCGGAGAAGCAGCACCCCCGGCCCCCGCGTCTGGAGGGGATGAGCCAACCGCAGCCGGTGCATCTCCGGGGCCTCGTAAACAGGATGCTGCCTGCAGCAGACAGCGCTCCGGGCCCGGGGCAGGGGTGGTGCCGTGAGCCTGGGGGGCTGTGAAATGCAGCTGCCTCTGGGGTGGTGGGCCTAGCTCACACGCCCTCTGCCCTGCAGCCCAGCTGGAGAGCTTAGCACTGCCAGCTCCCCGCCTGGCCCTGCTCCCTTCAGGTGAACTGCCTTCTCCCTGCTCTCCTGGGGCAGCAGCAAGCAAACCCTGGGCTGGATCTCTGGCCCCAGGTCTGCTCGTCCTCCTGCAGCGGTGGCTGGGGGCGGGAGCCTGTTTTAGGGTCCCCGGAGCTGCCCCGTGGTGTGGGCATGGCCACCTGTCCCCCAGCCAGCAGTCCCCGGCACCGCCCTGCCTGTCCGGCTGTGCAGCGTGGCAAGGCTTGCCCCTTGCCCTGTGCAAATGTTTTCCTTCTGGGAGGGCCTCTGTGCCAGCCCCAGCGTCCCACCCCATCCATCCGCCCGGTTGAAATTGGGCTGGCGCAGCGCCTGGGCTGCCCTGCCCCAGCCTCCGGCATCCCACAGGGCCTCTGCCAGGGTCAGCCGTGGCCTGGTAGCTGTGACCACGGTCCCCGCTCTGTCCCCAGCCAGCCGGGGTCCTCGGGCGGATGTCAGGGCAGGTCCACCCAGCCCTCCCTACCCCGGGCCGTGCTCTGGGGGTGTCCTCGCAAGCCAGCAGCTGGGGCCAGAGCCGTGCTGCACGTGCGTTACCCGACGCGGGCAGCGTGCGAGGCGGGTCCCCGGGCCGCGCTGGGCGAACGCAGCCTGGCTGCGTGGCACGGGGGACGGTGCGAGCCTGCTGCTCTCCTCTCTGCCCGCCTGCAGCCCCAGGCAGCTCTGATGCAACTCCCCCAGCCTTGCCACAGCACGGCAACCTGTTGTGCAAGGCGCCTTGCAAGAGCAAGTCCGTGCAGCTCCTGGCACGTAGCAGCCCCTCCCTGCAGCCGGGAGCTGGGGTCTCGCTGCCAGGAGAGAGCTCGGAGGGTCTCGGCCCCATCCCGAGGCAGGCTGGGCAGAGACGCAAGGCCGGGCAGCCCCTGTTCTGCGTGAACGGGCTTCCCGGGGGGGCGGTCGGCTCCGGCGCTGAGCTGCCATGCAGCGGGGCGCTCTGGCCCGGGGCTGCCTTCGTGCATCTGGCCCCTCTGCGCCGTCCTGCCACGGGCGAGGACTAGCCCTGATTGCACGTCTGCAGGGCGTCAGCTCCCTGCCACTGACTGGGGGGTGCCTGGGGCTTGCCCCAGCCCAGCTGCCACAGGCCCGGGTGCTGTCGAGGGGCCAGGGTTTTGGGGCGTCTGCGTGGGCTGTGCCTGGCAGGCCAGGAGCGGCGCGTCTGTCGCCGCAGGAGGAGGAAGCTGTGCTGCGCGTGGGTGTGGGGTTACATTGCTACAGACAGGAAGGGCTGTGCAGAGCATCTGATCTGCTCCGCAGGTGACGGTTATGCAGCTCAGACGCTTCCCCCTCCTCGCCTGCCTGCTCCGGTTGGGGGTCACCCGCCGGCCCAGGCAGCGCCTCTGCAGGGCTGCAGGCTTCGGGGCGTCTCCGCGCCCTGCCCTTTGCTAGCTGGACCCTGTCCAGGATGCAGGTGCCAGCGTGCAAGGCCTGCGGCGAGGGATCAGCGCTGGCGAGGTTGCGGGGGAGGCAGACACCTCCTCGTTCCCCTCGTCCCTTCCCAAACTAGCTCGGGGTTAAAGCATCCAGTGCTGCCCTGGTGCAAGAGGCTGCTTTGCTTCACTAAAGCCCAGGGCCTGACGGGGGTCTCTGGGCCCCGCACGCGGGTCCGGAGCACCGCGCTTCCATGAGCTGCAGGCAGCTGCTACCCCCAGCGCGTGCCCAGCCCCTGCTGCCCGCTGAGCTTGGGAGCGCACAGTCCTGGGGCTGGGAGATGCAGGCTGCACCGGGAGGCTTTCCCCGACTCTTTGCCTTCCCCTTCTGCTGTGGCCGAGCCAGTCGGGGCGTGCTCAGCCCCTCCGCCTGGTCTCTTGCAGGGCTCGGGATGAAGCGGGGCCTGTGTCCAGGCCCGCGGGGGAGCAGCGTCCAGCGCTGAGCCCTGCTGCCCCCAGGTCCTCGCGCTCCCCGTGCACCCTGGCGCCAGGGCAGGATGGCCAGCTGCTGTCCATGCCCCTGGATCCACGCGGAGCGGTGACGCGCTGACGGTGCCTGGGCCACAGGGCTGACCGCGAGCCCAGAGCTCGGCGCGTCTTCTCGGGCTCCCCGACCCGCCGGGACGGGCGGCACGTGTGGTGCGGCCTGGGCCTGGCCATGGCTCAGGACATAGAGGCGGACTGCCTGCTGGACCTCAGCTTCCTGACGGAGGAGGAGCAGAGCACCATCGGCGAGGTGCTGCTCCGGGACTCGCAGCTCCGCGTGCTGGAGGAGGGGCGCGTCAGGTGAGACCGTGGGGCCCGCTCGCCCCCCTGGGGGCCTGGCTCCATCCCCCCCATGCACATGCACACACATGTGCATGTGAATACATATGTGTGCAAGCAT